AAGACTGTTTCAAGAAAAGTGAAGAAAATATGAAGTCTTGAAGACAGTTGCAAAAACAAGTGGCATTTCACTGTATCTGTAGCACTTAGTTGCATAATAAAAACCTCCCAATTACATACTCTTTGGTTTTAATTCAAGTTAAAATCTTTCAGCACCTTTCAGGATTTGGAGAAAATTAAAATGCCTTTTTGGCATAAATGTGAGACACAGGATAAACCACCTTTCAATGTCTCATTTATGAAAACCACCCTGCTGGTTTTGAATGAGCACACTGCAAACAATGCATGAATGACAATAGGAAGGTACACTTGATATGTGCATTCATTCTGGAGCAGAGAAAAAACAAGTAGACTTTTCCTAACACAAAAATGTCATCTACACAGTATTTTGGTTCCATTGGTGACCAGTCTGTCATTTTTGTTACACTTTTGTCTAGAAATACGCAAATATCAAATGTATTTCAGGATTAAAAAAAAATATATAACAAACCCTTCCTCTAATGAGCCTGACATACATAATGTTCCTTATGTGCAATTCTTAAGTAAAGGTTTTAAATGTGGGAGGTTATTGTTTCACACACATTTATACATTCTGGCTTTTCAGAAGAAATTTGAGACTGCAAGACAGCAAATTCATAGTAGAAATCTCAGAAAATTCAAATCTGGTTTTGCTCCCACTGAGGCCAATGTCAATATGCTTTTCAAAGACAAGGGAATAAGCCCAATGTCTGGTAAAATGGAATCCAAATATAACTTGCTTTTAAAACAAAAGCTTTTACCACAACAGTTTTTAAAAATGTTTTTGAACAAAAATGCACATAATCCCAAAAATATATTCCAGTATGCAAAAAGTAAGGTGTCAAATCTGCAGAGCCAAGATACTGAAAATATTGGTTGGCGCTCCCCTATTTAAAACTACTTCTACACATGCTATATAATAAACTCTTCTACTTCTACTGCTTTGTGATTTACTATAGTTAGACAGGGTTAAAGTCACATTCCTTCATTTTTTTTAATCCTAAAATCCCTTGTTTTTCTGTTCATGTCTAAGGCAGTTTTTGTGCTATTGTACATCAATGTCATGTTGCTTAACACACATTTCAAAACAAATAAAATATTTTGCTACGGAAAAAAAAAGCTACATTTTTGTAGCTCCAATATCCCCAATATTCAAAGTTACAGCATTCAACACCTTTCCAAATGAGGCCATTCCCACTTGCTCCATCTACACAGGTACTCAAGGCCCTCTGGCTCCTTGCTGACTTCAGTGGAGTTCTGCACGTGGTTTGGGCACAGACGTGTGAGCAGGTGAGTTTGTCATGAGCGAGGGGTACCCCCCTTCCTGCAGCTGCTCCGTCTCCAGCTAGTGCTCTCATATCCCACATCCAGCATCAGGCACAATGAGGTACGAGCACACCACCTCTTCCCAGGAAGCAGCCCATGCCCACAACCTGGCTGCCATTCAGTAGCTTTTGTGTCCATTGCCAGAGCTGCTCTCAGCACTTTGACCCCAGTTTTGACCTAAGTCTGTAGAAAGGTGAATGCGCTTGCATCCCTTAACACCTCTTAAACTTAAAAACTCTTTGGGCTGAGATTTCAGAAGCCTGGACTTTAAAACAGGCCCTCATTTTTGTAGACATAGGTAACAAATGGTTTTCTCATAAATCAGGTTTCCGAATTTTGCTTCTGTTCATTGCCCGTACTGGTTACAGATTGCTAAAATGGATCCCACAGCAAACAGAAAGGGACCTGCACGTATAAATTATATTATTCCTCACCCTCTCCCACTGGTGGGTAGTAATCACCAGGTTGCTGGTTCTCAGGTTCTTTTTAAGTTCTAACTGTGCAAATTTGTAACCAAGTTATGATTAAGGTGGAAATAAATAAATGTTTTAAAGAACAGCTGATCCTTGAAGGATATTGTGGTAATTCATCAAACTTCCAAATTAAATCCATAGGGTTCTAATGCATAAAATATTTCCAAATACTGCCTGAAGTATTCTCAACAGTGACAATAAAACCTCTCCATACTCCTCAGATTTTTTTTAACTATATTGAATAGCACATTTTTTTCCTTTTTATTTTTTAATTTATTGAGCTTCCAGAATTTCATTAGGTGTTTTGAACTGCGGATCAAATTTAATGAATACCAATCAATATTTCTAGGTCCCATTGTTCCAAAAGTAGATTCTTCATTTTACATGATCAGAAATCTGAAAAAAACCGCCAGATCCCCTTGTGATATGTCATTTCACAGTTTAAAACAAAAATCACAGCTACTGTAGCTTACAGCAGGGTGCACTGCAAAAGCAAAATAATTTGGGGATGGGAGGAGTAGTATACCCAGCACCAGTTAAGCAGTTCAGCAAAAACATTAATTTCAGCTGGAAGTTTTTCCCCTTAACAATGTTGCACTTGGTTCCTGAACAGCCTAAAGTAGGACTGACTTTTGCTCTTCCTCTCTATATAGTATATTTTCAGCTTTGTTATTTTGAATACTGAGATACACATTTTAAAGTCAACTACAGTACTTAAGGGGGAAGCAGGTAGTAGGTTTTCTTCACACTAAAAATACTTTCTAAGAGATTCTGACCTACTTCTGTTTGTGGTGCCACCTGAGTTAATTGCCTGTATTATTTTGATGGTTAACCTGTTCAAGTTGGATGTTTTTCACAGATGACCACATCAGGTACTCTTCATCATCTTCAAGAGCCCATTTCTTGACAGGTATTTTTTATCCATATTTAGTTTGCAGAAGTTTTTTAAGAGTACCACCTTGAAAAGTTTCTTGAACATATAAAGGTGGGTAAGCTTTTTCATTAATTTTCACAGATGAAAGGTGCTATTTCAAAACCCCATCTGTTTTTCATTTAAGAAAATGGAAACTCTTCTAATGTATTAAAAATGTAAACATAACTTTTCTTGCAGGGGTATAACTGATATATATAATATATATGTATTTCTCTGCTATATGTTAATATTCCTTGAAAACTGAACATACTTCTCTCATATCAATGTATCGTAGCAAGAATTTTTAATGGTACTGTATCATTAGTCTTAATCTGGTTTTCATTATGGTATTTTCTGAGATAGCTGGCATTACTACTTTCTCTTGAGTTTTTATTCAATTCATTTTGTGTACATTTTTTTCTACCATTTAAAATATGTTTAACTCATTCACCAGTAGAATTCCCACTGAAGTCTGTTACCACATAAACTCCAAATCTGAAGGAGCTAAGAAATGGTCCCATGTTTTTATGAATGAGTTAGATTATCAAAATTTAAAATATCTCTACATGAAGCACCAGTTTCACACGTTTCAATAGCAATACAAGTAATGCCAATTTAGATTCTTAAAATCCAGTTAAGTTTTGGTTGAGAAGCAGCAGAAGTGCTTCAAAGTCACATAAGGTGTGTGGATCTATCTGCGTATGTTCTGTAGTTTTGTTTCTATAGTGTCTGCATCCTAGTAAAGTTTGTATAATGATACTTCAGTTCCAAACATTTGGCACCATCTCATCCATTTCTTGCATCTTTCTCAGTATCTGTTGAAAGAGGAGAAATAATTTTATGCAGGTGAGCAGGCACGCAGGGAAAGAGGAACTAAACACCCACTTGTCAGCTTGAAAGCACAGGTCAGACAACAGTAACAGACTATTTTTCCTAGCCCTGCACAAACATGTACCTGAGAGAGGTATAAAGTATGGTGTACATATATATACACAGATATCTATGGGGTGTTCGCCTGGGGAAGAGGAGGCTGCGGGGAGATCTCATCACTCTCTACAACTGCCCGAGAAGAGGCCATGGTGGGGTGTAGTTTGGTATCTTCTCCCATGTAACCAGTGAGACAGGATGGGAGGAAATGGCCTCAAGGGGTTGTTTAGATGGGATATCAGTGGAAACTTTTTCGCATGAAGGGTTGTAAAGCGTTAGAGCAGCAAGCCCAGGGAAGTGGTGGGGTCGCTATCCCCATAAGCATTCAGAAGCTGTATGAATATGGCACTGGAGAACATGGTTTAATGGTGAGCATGCTGGTGATCCGAGGTTGATGGCCGGACTTCATGATCTAATAGGTCTTTTTCAAACCTTAGCCATTCTATTATTCTGTGTACTCAGTAACACTTTCAGAGGTAGGATGGGGAGACTAGAAGTTAAAAGCATGAAACATAGGTTTGCCTCATTTTACTACTGATTTCCTAATGCAAAGGAATGGATAGGAATTCATTCCATGAGGAATGCATATTTTACAGGCTAATTAAGCAAGGCGCATTAATTCGGTCTATTTGCTTCACTGGTACTGTTGTAAAACACTACAGTGGTCATCTGTTTTACTTTCCATTTACTGCTTGGAATTTGTTTCGTATGAACATTTATACAATGTTAATTCTCACTCTTTATACAATCCAAATGAAGTCTCTTGATAAGTATTTCATATGAGCAACTAACACAGTGTTCTGTGAGCTGCTTACCTCTGTGTTACAGAACACTGCTTTCTCTGTTTATCTTTTTGTGTTTCACAGATACTAAGGTACAGTAGACCTACCAGGAGGACATTTATTAAACAACTTTGCCTTTTTGGAGGAAAAAAAATGTAAAAAAGGCATAATTTTGGCATTGCTTAAACTTTTAAAGAGCAAAACTGTAAATGGAGGGTGTGTGAAAGAACTGATTCAGGGAGGGTGGCTGCTGTGTAAGCAGCAGCAGCAAAGTAACATAGGTATGTGGGATTTTTTCAGAATGTCTTAATGAGCACTGTTGCTGCTCGGTTGTGTGTGGGTGCTGTAAAAGGGTACTGAATGATCCTAGCAAGGTCCCAGTGCAAGTACAAAGAAGGTGTGTGAGCCAGACATCGTTAATTAGCAGACCAGACAGGAGCAGCAGTTCTGAAAAGTGTTACACACACAACAGCACAAATGCAAGAGCAAAATTCCCAAAACCCACAAAACAAAACACCAACAGTGGGGCACAGTGACAGAAAACCCAGCAGTGGGGAGGCACTTACGGTGAGATTGTGCAGCCGGAGGCGTAGGCGTGGTGGCCCGTGTAGCGGATGTCGCAGCGGACAATGTTGTTGGAGTAATCGGATTCAGGCACCAGGTAGCTGGGGTTTACACTCACCTGGAGGGGAGAAAGCAAAGTGCTGTCTACTGCCACATTTCAGCTGGTAACTTAGATACCAAAGGATGCGTGCAAATGATTTGCTTCTTCAAACAGAAAAAAAGAAAAACCTCCCAAAAAACCCCAAAGCTCCCCATTCCCAATACACTTACCTTCAGAATATAATTTCCAGGTTTTACATCAGTAATATCAATCCACTGGCAATCTATGTCAGCATTGTAAGTGTCGTAGCAGCCAGGGCTCAGACCCTTAAGAATGAAGTTAAGATGGATGTAAAAAAACATTGATCTTCAGAAACAGTGACACTCTAGACATTAGGGACACTCAGACTGAAGTTCACTTAACTATCACAGCTCACTTAGAAAATATCTTAGAAAATGAGTCTTATTTTTAGTTGCCATTTTATTTGTGTATCTAAACTAGAACACCTATGTCCAATGTACCATGATGACAGACAGCCCTTTATTATTAATGCATAAAAAAACACCCGTAATGTTGACAGTTGTTCATCTGTGACGTATCTGCATTTTCTTATCATCACTTGTTACAGTACTCCTTTTGTGTAAAAACTGTTGATGTTAGTGTTTCCTGTTCTTTACATAAGATCAAAATACAATGAAAATTGACCAGAGACTGGAGGTAAGCATCTATAAATGTCGAGTGAGTATCTTCTGAGGTCATGAGTACAGTCAGACTTGATCACCATGTTGGAACCTCTCTCTACCCTTAGGAATGACACAATTTTTTGCTATGGATGTACTCTGCCCAAGTGCCATCTTTGAATAGTAGGGTTAAGAGCCGTTTTCACACTGAGCTTTGCATGGAAATGGTGTCTCTCCAGGCAAATAGTGACACAAAATCTGAGGGAACTGAAAATGTAGCCTTTATTCCCAATGCATCTTTCTGAAAAATTCTTTGTTGTTAGGAGTATTAGTAAGAATCCCCACATATGAATGTATCTGTGATTCAAATCTAGTGTCTTTAGGTGTGGCCTATACAGATAGCTCTAGGCAGAGCTGATCTGTTCTGGAAACACACAGAGTGCAGAAAACCCAAGTCCTGCAGGAATTCCCTCTTGACCCAGCTGGTGATCAGCTCAGACTCTTGCATGTTTGTGCCAAGTCTGAGGCTGGAGGAAAGTTTTACAGTCCAATTACAAACCCCTGAAATACGGGCTTCCAGTGGAAATGCTGACACAGCCGTGATTCTAGTGACACAAATACTCCAGCTGTAAAATATGGATGTTGCTTAGTTAGATGTCATAGTCTACAGAAGTAGAAAAGGTATTTATAAAACCTCTTCAAAGCCTCTATGTATTGCAGATCATTCATTATAGTTAAAATTCAAATGTGGACACGTCAGCCAGTGAAACATAGCTGTCATTTCTCTGTGACAGAATAACTACCTTCTAGATTAGAAACTGCAGAATAAGGGATACAAGTTTATGTGTACGTATGGCCACACTGAGTTAAACCACAGATCCATCAAAGCTCAGTCTCACGTCTCTGACAGTGGTCAGCAGCAGATGCTTAACAAGATCAGAACATAAGCAATGGGATGTGTAATGTCAGGCAAACTCCTTCCACCAGGCATTTCACTGTATTTAAGGCATGGGGTACCATCAGATTTTTGTGTTTAATAACATCCATTACTTTGTGTAAATTCTTCTTGAGCCCACGGAGATTTTTGATCTCTGCAACATCCAGTGTCAAGGAATTTAATACTTCATGTGTCCAAAGAGCACTCCTCTGTTTTAAAGCTGTTGCCTTACAGGTCTTAAGTTCATATATTGTCAGAAACATCAACAATTGTCAGTAAATATCAATAACTTCCTCTTTCAATTCACAACCACTCAATTTTTCCTCTTCTGGTTTCCCAAATGGAATAGTCTATGAAATCTCTTAGCCATACTACACTGCTGATCAACCTTGTTCTGCTGGAGTTGGCTGGTTAGGATTTTTTAAGCTGTTCTTCAGCAGTTCTGAGAGGTGGTGATGCAATACTCAAGGTAGGAGTCTTGCATGGATTTGTCTATCATAACGGCATGTTCCACTTTCCATGTTCCCCTCATCAGCCCTGGCACCTGGCTTTACGTTTGTACATGACCCATCATAACATCACACAGCTGCCACTCCCTTCAACAGCCTCCTGCTGTACAGGCACAGAACAAAACTGAGATTTCCGTGCCAGACTGCCAGCCAGCAGCAGCAGGTGTTAATGGAATCCAGCACCTTACATCTTCAGACTCCGCAAGGGAGAGAATACCAGCTGTGAACCCTGGCACCAGCCAAGGACATCAGGTTGTGGGGATAAACACTGGGAACGGCTTATTTTCGGGATAACTTGAGTGCCCCTTAGCAAGCCTGACCAGCTCTACTGCCACAAGAACTTGTGGTGTGCTTCAGTATAGTTCAGTTACCAGTGTTGCTACACTAGTGAGTGTCACTGCCCTTTAATAAGAAACCCACAGGTGAATTATCAGTCTCCAGCTTAGTACCTGGTCTCTATAATGGGGAATTTCAGAAGCTAGTTAGGGCATCAGCTCATTTAGGGCATCAAGTGACTGGCAGAAGAGTTATCCAACTACAGACTAGGAAAGGCAAAGACACTTGGTTGTCTCCAACACAGCTCCTACCTGTGTGTGTGCTGTACATGCATACCGCCTGTAATATCCATAATCACAGGAAGTATCTTCAAGGCAGAAACTTGCTTTGTGTCCTTCAGCGACTTTTCTATGTGAGCTTGCATCCAACAAGTCATAGTGGCTGAATTCATCCATGCTGTGATAATGTCTGTTAAACCATAGATAGATTATTAGAGGTGGTTCAGATCTTATCAATAACATTTTCACTTATTCCTACTTAATCTACATCCTGTTAACTCTGGACAAATTTTATTTACTACTCAAAACTTGTGTGTTAGTAAACTTTCCTACATATATATATATATATATATATATATATATATATATGTGTGTGTGTGTGTGTGTGTATAAATATACACACACACACATATATAAAAGGTTTTAATTGGTTATGGGAAAGATTCCATAGCAGCACTGTTTTTCTAAAATTTTCTGTTTCACCTCTTTTCCAATAACAATAGCAAGTATGAAGTAGGTCATGTACCTTTAACCAGAGTTTTGCTAGGAATGCTTACCTTACATACTTACATACTATAATTTCCATGGAAGTTTGCTACTTGAAACCAACCAACTATTTGGTTTCACATTTCCATGGCCCACAGACAATGTAACACGTTCATAACATTGGTGAAGACAAAATCTGCATGAAGAAATCAGCTTCTGTGTACTGGCAGTGCAGATTTCATTCAGTATCAACTACTTTTACAGTCTATACTTAATGCTGTCTACTTCAGAAGTGTGTTTGCTTTTGATTTGGACAAAGTGATGCATTTTTCTTGCTTTCACACGAAGTGACTTCTAGCTCATACTGTGGAGTTTTAACACCTCACATTCTTGTAATTCCACTTTTTCCAAAGGTGTGGGAAAATAAACTTGTCTTTTCTACCTGCACTGTGTCTTTGCAGCATTTGGCTGCAGTTACTTTTGAATGCTTTCAGCTCAAGAGGTAAATGAAAAAGGCCTAATTGAACAAAATTCAAGTGTATTGGTAAAACAAAGCAGCACGGGAGCCCCACAAGCAGGCCCATGCAGAACACTAAAACTGATCTACAGATGATGATGACTAACACTGAGGTCTGATGGCTAGCCAAAGTAATTGGCAGTTAAGAGTTCATTTCCAAATTAATTTTCTTCAATGTTATGGAAATGATCACCAGAGATGTATTTTTCAGTAGGCAATGCCTTTTCTATCCAAGAACTGAATCAGTATCAGAGACACTCTGCATCTGGACAGTGATAGCTGGGCTATCGTGGCACAGCAGGAAACCGTTTTTCTCAAATGGAAAACTGCTACTGCTCCCTACCCATTTCATCCATTTATTTATCAAGTTTGTAAACACAAGGTTGGGGATTTTTGTTTTTGCTGAAGATTTTGTTTAGGGATAGATGTTAGCTAAAGCATTTGTGGAGGCGTTTTTGCTAAGTTTGATTTAGCTTTAGCTTTTTGATGCTTACAAGATTTATAAACTGATGAGTCTTTTTTTGAAAGAAATTGTTCTAATGATACTGATTTTTCATTCAATGCCTAAAGCTTCTGAACCTTGAGAGAAATATTCCATTGGCTCAGAGGCCTTCACATCAAGCCCACATTGCATGCCATTTTTAAAAAGATTAAGTTATCCTTTATGTGCCTGTAGGAGCAGAGTTGGACTTCAAGTAAGGTGGAAATAAGTATTCTGAATAATTAGTTCTAATATTTTATAAATTCCCCTGCTGAGATGTAGCAAATATTGGAACAAACCTGCATATGAGTTTTCTGAAAAGTTACAACTTATACTATTCCTAAAGCAATGCTGCTGTGTCAAAATATCATATATATATTATTGATAATGGGATCAGTCAGCCCAATAGCTTTTCTTTTCCAAACTGATCAGATCATTCCTTGTGAAGACCTAGCTCATTAAATTCAGCTCAAGAAGTATGGGTCACTGTTTAAAATGATGTGGTATTACAGGAAATACGCTAATAAATGTACATTTTAGGGTTTCTATTTATTTTAACATGGTTGGGACTTTTATTTACAGATTACACTTAAATGTAAGTGAACTACATGTAAAATAAAAGGAGAAAGTGCTACTGTCAAATCTCATTTCAGACTTATATTTATATTGAATCTACACATTGTAAGAATTTCAAACATATGGATGAGCTTTGTATCCATCCTCGTTTCATGTGTCTGTATAGAGTGATTATCACTACATACAAAGAGTAATTACCACAATTAAAATTAATCAGATCATAAAAGGCTAAAGTTTCCCCATGGTTTCTCACTGCTTCACTTTAGTTTTAGAAAATGTCCCCTTATAAGTGACAATTTGTTAGTGAAAAGCATAATTAAAAGATGCCATACTGAGCACTTCACTCACTGGTGACAGCTGTGCCACTCCCAGGAATAACGGGGTCTGCTGGGCAGGAAATCCGATGTGCCTTGATTTTTTACCCTTTGGGGGAATCTCAGGAGCACCCGATTGTCATAGTCTCTAACATCTGCTCGATAAGCTGAACTGCAATGATGCAAATCAAAGAAAACAAAGGAAAAAGCCATAAGTATAAGCAAGAAATACTTTGGAAAATGCTTTATACTGTATAAGAAGTAACTGATAGCACAGATCTTTTCAGGCCCCATAAGCCTCATGCATTGGAGAGTCACACAGAAATTCCATATGGTGTGGAAATTCCTGGTGTCCGACCAAGACCTGACTAAAATTCAGATCTGTTTTTAATTTTATAAACAGAAGCTTGACCACTGACCAACTCTGTCTATGAAGAAGATCACTGCTGAGCTATAAAACTACTGTGGTACCAAAAAACAGAATTTCATTAGTTGCTAAATAACTCCCTGTGTATGCAAGATCACACAACAGATGTTTGATTCCACTGTAAAAAAAAAAATAAAAATAATACGTATCTGAATCAGGCTGTGTTTTCCTATTCTGCATAGCTATTATCTATACTCTTTTAAATACTGGAATATTTTAATCAACTAATAGCCAGCAAGAACACTTCAATGAGTCTTCACTGTGAAGCTAGCAAAAAAAAAGAATACTGCTTCTTATGTCATGTTTTCTTTTTCTGCAAGTGAAGAGCAAGACCCTGAAACAGTCTGCATAAAGTAATCATGCTGGTAAATAAATAAATCTGTTTTGCATGATAAGGTATCAAACATGTTAAAATGGTTAAAAACAGCCATGTTGATTTCTTTCCAAACAAAACAGGAAAAATCTCTCTTTGCCAACTGGACAAGACCTAACTTCATAACAAAGCTGTTATTTCAACCCCTTAAGAGACTTTGAAACACTTTTCAGAGGGATTTTAGTTTTAGGAGACGGTAAAAGGCATAGGCCCAGAAACAATTAGCTTATTATAATCTTAATAGCAAATTGTGCTGGTTAAGAATAGGGGTTTTGTTGTTTAGGTTTTCTTTCCCTTTTTTTTTTTTGTTTTTTGTTTTTTTAATGAAGTAACATAGGATCTTGTGGGAGTAGAGGAGAGAGATGAAAATCAACAGATTGAAGTGGCTTTCTAGGTGCCTCCATTTCATAAAATTCAGAAATGTTCAAGTGATCCCGACAATAGAAACATGTAATACAACTTCCCACAGCACGTAGGTTCTTCAGGAGATCTGCAGCTTGTCTCTCTAATATGGCAGGATTGCTTTCTGATGCGCGTGCTCTACCATCTGCCACAAACTTGGAAGGTTACAAAGGGCTGTGTTTTGTTTCCTTGAGCCCTCCAACCTCACCCTTCTCCACTCTTCACCATGTTCACAGGTGGAAACAGGAGCACAGCAAGCCACAGCAAACGGGCAAAATCCTGGGACGATGCCTACCTTGCCAAGCAGTTCTCCTCGGCAGCACATCTCAAGTTGTACATGGACATCCTCTGGACATATGTGGACGCCTGGATGTAATAGGGATCCGGGACTAAGTCAGGGAGACCTGCAGTTCATCAAACCAACCACATAACAGCAAGATCAACCCAGGACACGTTTGCAAATACTTGGCTACCATCCCAGTCGTTAGGAGACGTCGTTTTGCTGCGGACCCCTGCTCTCCGCTAACCTCGCGTTCCCCTTTGCTCAGGCTTGTCCCAAACACCTCATGGCCAACACGACGCCCCGCGGCTGGCTTATCGGCAGCTCGCCCCCTCTCCCAGACGCGGGGACTGGGCTGCCCGCAGCCCGAGAGCCGGGCGAGGGCCAGGCAGGGCCGGGTACCCCCGCAGCTGATCCCGCCGGGACCGGCGTGAGCGGAGCGAGGGCACCGTGCGGCGGGGCCGGGGCCGCCGGCAGGGGAGGGACGGGACGGGCGGAAAGGAGGGCTCTTACCGTACTGGAAGTAGCCGGTGCCATAGCCGGGTCTGTACCTGCTGCCCTGGCGGGGCCTCTCGTAGGTGTCGTAGTAGTTGTAGTAGGGGTTATCGTCCGTGTACTTGTAGGGGTTGTAGGGGTCGTCTCCTACCATGACATCTTCCCGGCCGGGCCTGAAGCTGCTCAGGGGCGGCAGGCTGCCGGCCCCGGTGCTGCTCCCGTTGCCGTCGGTGCCGGGGCTGGCTGCGGCGCTGGGTCGCGGCGCCCCCGGGGAGGCGCTCCGGGCCGCAGAGGTGGCGGCCGCCGGGCTCCGCTGCGCGGCAGCGGCGCGACCCCCGGAGGAAGCCTGGTAGCCGGCCTGGAACCAGTGCCGAGCGCCGGAGCCCCCCCGGCTGCCGGCGGCGGGCTGGGGCTGCGGCGGGGGCTGCGCGGCGGCGCGGGCGGCGGCTCTCCGCGGCAGCACCGTGCCGTTGTTCCGCAGCAGCAGGATGGGGCTGCCCGCCGCCTCCGCCGCCTGCCTGCGCCGCGGGGGCTGGTACTGGGAGCCCAGGCTGAGCAGGCTGTACACCTGCCCGTTGTTCTCCCACTGGATCCGCTGCCTCCAGGCGGCGGGGGGCGGCGGGGGATCCCGGCGCGGCTGCTGCTGCTGCTGGCAGCCGGCGGGCCAGAGGCAGCTCCAGTAGATGCACGCGTGAAGCTGGGCGAGCAGGAGCCCCGGCGGCGCGAAACGCATCTTCTCCTCTTTGGTGGGCGCCGGCGGGTAGAGAGATACGGGCGAAACCGGGAGGGGAGGGGGAGAGGGGGGCCGAGAGAAGAGCGAGGGGCGCCTTTCCTGCTCGGGATGGAGCGGGGGGGGGGCGGTGCGGGGAGGCCGGGGGGTGCGGGCTGCGCCTCTGGAAGGGTCGGGCGGGCAGCGGGGTCTCAGGCGCTGCGGCACCCGGGAGGTGCCATCGGGCAGGTCGGGCCCTTGGAAAGTAAACCCGGCCCGGGGGGAGGCGGCGAGAGCGGCTTTTCTTCTCCCCGGTATTTATAGGCGAGGGGATGCGAATGGGAGCCGGAGCAAACAATCAGCCTCTCTTCGTCCTCCGGCCCGCGCTGGTGTCTGGAGCGAGGGAAGGAGGAGGAGGAGGAGGAGAGACCAGGGACTTTAAACTTGCTGGCACGCTCGCAAAGTTACACAAGCCCCGCTGGCTGGGCTGGCTGCACCCCCGCCATTTGTTCACGTAATGCGGCTGGAAACGTGCGGCCCTGACAGTTCCCCCACGGCCGCCCCCCGCCCGCCCCGAGCGGGGGCGGCTCGGGGGGGACGGGGCGGCTCGGCGCCGGGCGGGCCC